GGAGCAGCGGGGATAGGGGGCGGGGCGCGTGAGACGGGGTTTGGCTCGCGCAGCGCGCGAAAGAACTGGGGGCTCGCGCCGCGTGCGCAGGAAGTGGCAGCGTCGGGCTGCGCGCGCCGGGGGAAGAGCTAGCTCCGCGGGGAACGGGGGTCTCGCGCCGCGCGTGCCGTGGGGAGAGCTGGCCCCGCGAGCGCAGGAACCGGCGTCTCGCGCCACGCGCGCAGGAAAGGGGGAGGGGCACGCGTCCCGGGGGGTAGGGGGCTGACCCGGCGCGCTCAGAAACGGGGGGGACTCACGCCGCGGCGCGCGCAGAGAAAGTGAGGGCTCGCGCCGCGCCCCGCGCGCAAGAAGGTGCGGGTTGACTCGCGGCGCGCGCAGGAAAGGAGGGGCTCGCGCCGCGCGCGCCCGGGCGAGGGCTGGCCCCGCGCGCGCAAGAACCGAGGCGCTCACGCTGCGCCGCGAGCTCAGGAACAGGGGGCTTGCGCCGCTCGTGACGGGAGGTTCTGCGCGCGCTAGAAGTGGTGGCTCGCGTCGCGCCTGGTGCGCAGGAAGGGGCGGGGCTAGCGCGTTGCGCTCCCGGGGAAGGACTGACCCCGCGTGCGCGGGAACCTTGGGGAAGGCGCCGCGCCGCACGCCCGGGAAGCGAGGGCTCTCGCCACGCGTGCCGGGGGTGGCTTCGCGCGTGCGATAAGGGGGACTAGCGCCGCCGGTGGCGGAGGGCCCCGCGCGCGGAAGGGGGGGTGGTTCTTGCGCCGCGCGGGCAGGAACGGGGGGCTCGCACCGCGTCCACCGGGGTAAGGTCTGGCCAGCGCGCGGAGGAATGAGAGTGCTCGCGCAGCGCGCGCATGAAAAGGGTGTGTGTGTGTGTGTGTGTGTGTGTGTGTGTGTGTGTGTGTGTGTGTGTCCACTGTGCCAAAGTAGCACCGGGGTAAGGTCTGGCCAGCACGCGGAGGAATGAGAGTGCTCGCGCAGCGCGCGCATGAAAAGGGTGTGTGTGTGTGTGTGTGTGTGTGTGTGTGTGTGTGTGTGTGTCCACTGTGCCAACGTAGCACCGGGGTAAGGTCTGGCCAGCACGCGGAGGAATGAGAGTGCTCGCGCAGCGCGCGCATGAAAAGGGTGTGTGTGTGTGTGTGTGTGTGTGTGTGTGTGTGTGTGTGTGTCCACTGTGCCAACGTAGCACCGGGGTAAGGTCTGGCCAGCACGCGGAGGAATGAGAGTGCTCGCGCAGCGCGCGCATGAAAAGGGTGTGTGTGTGTGTGTGTGTGTGTGTGTGTGTGTGTGTGTGTGTCCACTGTGCCAACGTAGCACCGGGGTAAGGTCTGGCCAGCACGCGGAGGAATGAGAGTGCTCGCGCAGCGCGCGCATGAAAAGGGTGTGTGTGTGTGTGTGTGTGTGTGTGTGTGTGTGTGTGTGTGTCCACTGTGCCAACGTAGCACCGGGGTAAGGTCTGGCCAGCACGCGGAGGAATGAGAGTGCTCGCGCAGCGCGCGCATGAAAAGGGTGTGTGTGTGTGTGTGTGTGTGTGTGTGTGTGTGTGTGTGTGTCCACTGTGCCAACGTAGCACCGGGGTAAGGTCTGGCCAGCACGCGGAGGAATGAGAGTGCTCGCGCAGCGCGCGCATGAAAAGGGTGTGTGTGTGTGTGTGTGTGTGTGTGTGTGTGTGTGTGTGTGTCCACTGTGCCAACGTAGCACCGGGGTAAGGTCTGGCCAGCACGCGGAGGAATGAGAGTGCTCGCGCAGCGCGCGCATGAAAAGGGTGTGTGTGTGTGTGTGTGTGTGTGTGTGTGTGTGTGTGTGTGTCCACTGTGCCAACGTAGCACCGGGGTAAGGTCTGGCCAGCACGCGGAGGAATGAGAGTGCTCGCGCAGCGCGCGCATGAAAAGGGTGTGTGTGTGTGTGTGTGTGTGTGTGTGTGTGTGTGTGTGTGTCCACTGTGCCAACGTAGCACCGGGGTAAGGTNCCTCCTGCAGCTGCGTCCCGGGCCCCGACCCGCGGGCCCCGGGGTCGCCTCGGCCTCCCCGCCGGCCTCGGCCCGCGGCCCCGCCTCCGTGCGCATCGTGCGCGCTGCCACCGCTTGAGATCTGCTCGCTGCCTGGGTGATCGCGCGACTCGCGCGGCCGGGGGGTGGGGGGCAACCTTCGGTGTGCGAAGGAGGGCGCCCGGCCCGCGGGTGGGGACCCCCTTCTTGGGAAGTGAGGGCGCACGGCCGGGGACCCCTCCCTAAGTGGTTCAGGGCCCGCGAGTACTGCGCGGGTGGAGACCCTTCCGCGCGCAGTTGAGCGCGCGCGGCCCGCGAGTAGGGCTCCCTTTGTGGGTGAAGATGTTGGGCCCCCAAGTAGGGAGGCGTCTGTGCGTTTTTTCAGGGCGCGCCTAGGTGCGCAGTTGGTAGCCCGCGGCCCACGGGTGGTCCTCCGTGGGAGGTTGACGGCGTGCGGCCCGCCAGTGGGGACCCCTTCGTGGGAGTTGGGGGTGCACGGCCCGTCGTAGATGGGGACCCCTCCGTGTGAGGGTGAGGACGTCTGGCCCGAGTAGGAACCCGTCTGTGCGTTTTGCAGGGCCCCCATACTTCGGTGGGGACCTTGCCGTGGGTGGTTGAGGGCGCCGGGCCCGCGGGTGGGGCTTCCTCCTTACGCGGTTAAGGTGGCGTGGCTCATGAGTAGGGACCCCCTTAGTGGGAGTTGAGGGCGCGCGGCCCACGTGTGGGGACACTTCCGTGTGCGGGTGAGGCCACCCGGTCTGCAAGTAGGGATCCATCTGTGCGTTTTCTAGGGCGTGCGGGCCACTCCGTGCCCAGTTGAGGGCTCGCTGCCCGCGAGTGGGGACCCATCTATGCGTTTTCAGGACGCGGGTACCGCCGTGGGGACCCCTCCTTGTGCGACCCGCGGGCCGGGACCCCTCTGTGCCCAGTTGAGGGCCCGCTGCCTGCGAGTGGGGACCCCTCCGTACGTGTTTAAGGGTGCACGACCTGCTGGTGCACACCCCTCAGCGCGCGGTGGGGACCACTGCGTGCGCAGTCCCAGACTGCGCGGTTGAGGGTGCACGACCCACGGGCAGGGTGCCCTCCGTGTGTGGGTTAGGGCATCAGACCCACCAGTAGGGACCCATTCCTGCATTTTTCAGGGATCGGGTACCTCCGTGCCCAGTTGAGGGCGCGCTGCCGCGAGTGGGGACCCCCTCCGTGCGCAGTTGAGGGCCCATGGCCGGCGAGTGGGGACGCCCTTCCTGGGCGTGGAGGGCGCACAGCCTTGTGGTGAGGACCACTCCGTGCGCGGTTGAGGGCGCAGAGCCCACAGGTGGGGCATCCTTGGTGTGCAGTTGAGGAAGCGCGGACAGCCTTGAGGACCTATTCGTGCGCGGTTGATGGTGCGTGGCCCGGGAGTTGGGAGCCCTCTGTGTGTGCTCGAGGGCGCGCGGCCTGCGAGTGGGGACCACTGCGTGAACGGTGGAAGGCCCACGGCCCGCCGCTGAGAAGCCCTGCCTGTGCGTAAGGGCGCACTGCCCGAGCGTGGGGACGCCTCTGTGGGCGGTTAAGGGTGCTCGGCTCGCAGGTGCAGACCCCTCAGTGTGCGGTTGAGGGCGCACAGCCCAGTAGTGGGGAACACTGCGTGCGCAGTTAAGGGCGCACGGCACGCGGGTGCGGACCCCTGTGTATCCCGGTGAGGATGCCAGGCCCGCGAGTCGGGACCCGTCTCTGTGTTTTCCTGGGCGTGCGCACCACGGGTCGGGACCCCTGCCTGCCCAGCTGAGGCCGCGGCCGGCGAGTGGGGACCTCTCCTTACGCGGTTGAGGACACACGGACCGTGGGTGGGGACCCACTTCTTGGGAGTTGAGGAAACACGGCCCTCAACTGGAGAACCCTGCCAGTGCGGGGAAGGACACCAGTCCCGGGGGGCCCCGCCCGCGCAAGAAGGGAGCGGCTCGCGCCACGCCCCCAGGAAGCGGTGTCTCGCGCTGCACCTCGCGGGCAGGAAGGGGGGCTGGCGCCGCACGTGCCGGGGGTATGGCTGGCCGGCGTGCCCAGGAAAGAGGGTGCTGGAGCCGCGCGCGCAGGAACCGGGGGGCTTGTGCAGCACCACGCGCGCAGGAAGTGAGGGCTGGCGCGGCGCCGCGTGTGCAGGAGTGGGGGGGGGGGNGGATGGCTCGCGCCGCGCCGCGTGGGCAAGAAGGGGACGGGAGTCGCGTCGCGCGTGCCCGGGGAGAGGGCTGACCCCGCGCGCGCAGGAACTGGAGGGCTCGCGCCACAGCGCGCGGGCAGTAAGTGGAGGCTCGCGCCGCGCGTGCCGCGGATCCCCGCGCGCGCACGAAGGGGTGGGTCGCACCAGGCGCCCAGAAAGGGGGGCTCGCGCCGTGGGTGGCGGGAGACCTCGGGCGCGCAAGAAGGGAGGGCTCGCGCCGCGCCGCGTGGGCCGGAAGAGGGGGGCCTCACGCCGCGCGTGCCGGGGAGAGGGCTGGCCCGCGCATGCAGTAACGAGGATGCTCAAGCCACGCTGCGCGCGCAATAAAGGGGATGCTTGCCCCGCTTGGGCAGGAATGGGGTCGCGCGTGCCGCTGGGTCGGCTGGCCCCGCGCGCGCTGGGCCCAGGGGCTCACACAGCGCAGCGTGCGCCAGAGGGGTGTCTCGCGCCGCGCGCGGACGGGAAGGGTTGACCCCGGGGTGCGCAGGAAGTGGGGCTCGCTCTGCGAGTCCCGAGGGGTCCCGCGCGCGCAAGAAGTGGGGGCTCTCTCCACGTACCCAGGAAGCAGGGGCTCACGCCACGCGTGCCGGGGGTCACCGCGTGCCAAGGAAGGGGGGCTCGTGTCGCGGGTGGCGGGAACCCGCGCGTTTAAGAAGGGGGGGCTCGCGCCGCGCCGCGTGGTCAAAGGAGGGGCTCGCGCCATGCGTACCAGGGGAGGGATGACCCCGCGGGCGCAGGAACCGGGGGTCTCGCGCCGCGCCGCGTGCGCCATAAGTGGGGGTCTTCTGCCGCGCACGCAAGAAGTGGGGCCTCCAGCGCACCGGAAGGGGAACTCGCGCCGCGCCGCGTGCCCCGGAGGAGGGGCTCGCTCCGCGCTGCGTGCGCGGTCTCGCGTGCGCAAAATGTGGGGACTCTTTCCACGTACCCAGGAAGCAGGGGCTCGCGCCGCGCATGCCAGGGGTCCCCACGTGCGAAAGAAGGGAGGCTCGCGCCGCGGGTGGCGGGGACCCGCGTGCTTAAGAAGGGGGTGTTCGCGCCGCGTGGGCAGAAAGGGGGGCTCGCGGCGCGGGTGCCAGGGGGAGGGCTGACCCCGCGCGCTCAGGAACCCGGGGGCTCGTGCTGTGGCGCACACACAGAAAGTGGGGGCTCGCGCGGCACAGGCCAGGGGACCCCACATGGCAAAAAGGGTCGGCTCCCGCCACGCATCCAGGAAGGGGGGGTTCGTGCCGCGGGTCGCAGGGTCCCCGAACGCGCAAGAAGGGAAGGCTCACGCCGCACCGCAGGCGGAGGAAGTGGGGGCTCACGACGCGTGTGCCGGGAGTGCGCGCAAGAAGTGGGGGCTCGCGTCACATTTGTAGGAAAGACGTGGCTTGCGCCGGGGAAAGGACTAGTACCACGAGCGCAGGAAGTGGGAGCTCCTGCCGGGGTGCAGGAACGGGGTGGGGGGTGCTCGCGACGCGCCGCGCTTGCAGGAAAGGAGGGGCTCGCGCCGTGTGGAGGGCTGGCCCGGCGCGCGCAGGAACGGGGTGGGGGGCCCGCGCCGCGCCGCGTAGGCAGGAAAGTGGGGCTCGTGCCAGGAGTAGAGTTGACACCACGGGCGCAGGAACTGAGGGACTCGCACCGCGCCGCGAGCGCAGAGAGTGTGGGCTCACGCCGCGCGTGCCGGGGGTCCCCGCGCACGCAGAAAGTGGGGCTCGTGCCCCAGGTGGCAGGGGACCCCAGCTCGCGCAAGAAGGGGATGGCTCGCGCCGCGCCGCGTGGGCAAGAAGGGGACGGGAGTCGCGTCGCGCGTGCCCGGGGAGAGGGCTGACCCCGCGTGCGCAGGAACTGGAGGGCTCGCGCCACAGCGCGCGGGCAGGAAGTGGAGGCTCGCGCCGCGCGTGCCGCGGATCCCCGCGCGCGCACGAAGGGGTGGGTCGCACCAGGCACCCAGAAAGGGGGGCTCGCGCCATGGGTGGCTGGAGACCCCGGGCGCGCAAGAAGGGAGGGCTCGCGCCGCGCCGCGTGGGCCGGAAGAGGGGGGCCTCACGCCGCGCGTGCCGGGGAGAGGGCTGGCCCGCGCATGCAGTAACGAGGATGCTCAAGCCACGCTGCGCGCGCAATAAAGGGGATGCTTGCCCCGCTTGGGCAGGAATGGGGTCGCGCGTGCCGCTGGGTCGGCTGGCCCCGCGCGCGCTGGGCCCAGGGGCTCACACAGCGCAGCGTGCGCCAGAGGGGTGTCTCGCGCCGCGCGCGGACGGGAAGGGTTGACCCCGGGGTGCGCAGGAAGTGGGGCTCGCTCCGCGAGTCCCGAGGGGTCCCGCGCGCGCAAGAAGTGGGGGCTCTCTCCACGTACCCCGGAAACAGGGGCTCACGCCACGCGTGCCGGGGGTCACCGCGTGCAAAGGAAGGGGGGCTAGCGCCGCGGGTGGCGGGAAACCGCGCGCTTAAGAAGGGGGGGGCTCGCGCCGTGCGTGCCGGGGGAGGGATGACCCCGCGGGCGCAGGAACCCGGGGGCTCGCGCCGTGTCGCGCTGCGTACGCCGGAAGTCGGGGTCTTCTGCCGCGCACGCAAGAAGTGGGGCCTCCAGCGCACCGGAAGGGGAACTCGCGCCGCGCTGCGTGCCCCGGAGGAGGGCTCGCTTCGCGCTGCGTGCGCGGTCTCGCGTGCGCAAAATGTGGGGGCTCTTTCCACGTACCCAGGAAGCAGCGGCTCGCGCCGCGCTGTCGGGGGTCCCCACGTGCGAAAGAAGGGAGGCTCGCGCCGCGGGTGGCGGGGACCCGCGTGCTTAAGAAGGGGGTGTTCGCGCCGCGCCGCGTGGGCAGAAAGAGGGGGGCTCGCGGCGCGCGTGCCGGGGGGAGGGCTGAGCCCGCGCGCTCAGGAACCCGGGGGCTCGCGCTGTGGCGCACGCACAGGAAGTGGGGGCTCGTGCGGCACATGCCAGGGGGCCCCACATGGCAAAAAGGGTCGGCTCCCGCCACGCATCCAGGAAGGGGGGGTTCGTGCCGCGGGTCGCAGGGTCCCCGAACCCGCAAGAAGAGAAAGCTCGCGCTGCGCCGCAGGCAGAGGAAAGGGGGGCTCACGGCGCGTGTGCTGGGAGTGCGCGCAAGAAGTGGGGGCTCGCGTCACATTTGTAGGAAAGATCTGGCTTGCGCCGGGGGAAGGACTGGCACCACGAGCGCAGGAAGTGGGAGCTCGTGCCGGGGTGACCCCGCGCGCGCTGGAAACGGGGAACTCACGCTGCGCGCACAGAAAAGGGAGGGCGCGCCCTGCTCGAGATGGGGGACGCTGATCCTGCACGTGGGGGGTTGGGGGCTCGCGCTGCTCCCGGTCAAGGGGCGGGAAGCAATAGGGCTACCGCGAGGTGCCCAGAGGGTGTGACGGGCGGGTAGAGGTGGGCGCACCGGAGTGAGGGGGCCTGGGGTGGAGGTGCACTTGGGACTTCCCGCCGCCCGCGGGGAGTAGGGAGCTGCAGGCTACAACTGCAGCTCAGGGCTCGCGGTGACCTGGAGGGGTGCGGAGGTGACTGGCGCTCCCCGTGGGGCCAGAATCCGGCTGGGGCGGCAGCTCGAGGCCCAGCCCTTACCCGCGCCCGGACAACAGGCAGGAGAGGCGGCGGACACTAGGTTTCATCCCTAGGTGGGGAAGATCCCCTGGAGGGAGGGCATGGCAACCCGCTCCAGTATTCTTGCCTGGAGAATCCCTCGGACAGAGGATCCTGGTGGGCTACAGTCCATGGGGTCACAAAGAGTTGGACAGGACTGAGCACATGATCAACCAAAAGATGAAAGACCATATCAATGCACCTACAGTTTTTGGACGTGCCCTGTCCCAGCACAGGACCTCCCTTGTGGGTCTGCTGTTAAAGAATTGTTCAATGGGGGAGAGCTGGGTTCGATCCCTGGGTTGGGAAGATGCCCTGGAGAAGGGAAAGGCTACCCACTACAGTATTCTGGCCTGGAGAATCCAGTGGACTCTACAGTCCGTGGGATCACAAAGAGTCGGACACGACTGAGTGCCTTTCACTTTCACAACACAGTGCTGTTCCCCTCACCGTCCCACTGGTCACCCCCAGCTCGAAAGCTGGTGTTGACTAAAACATCTCAATTTAAACCTTAGATCTTAGCTAGGGCTGAAATTCAGACCACTCGGTCCTCTGAAGCTTGAAATCCTTGTCTTCATAAATCACAGCAGCAGTGGTCTATCACATTTTCCGTTCACTGTGTAATCATTGATCCATCACCCACCTGCCACTCAGAGGGGTTATACTGTCATTCCTTGAACTCAGGTGTAATTTTACCTGCATCCTCACTAAACATCATGCTGCTGAGCTTTTTTTTTTTTTTTTTAATCTTCACATAAGGCATCCCTTCCAGCTTCAGTCAGTTCAGTTGTTCAGTCGTATCCAACTCTTTGCAACCCCGTGGGGACTGCAGCACACCAGGCCTCCCTGTCCATCACCAACTCCTGGAGTGTGCTCAAACTCATGTCTATTGACTCAGTGAGGCCATCCAACCATCTCGTCCTCTGTCATCCCCTTCTCCTCCTGCCTTCAATCTTTCCCAGCATCAGGGTCTTTTCAAATGAGTCAGTTCTTCGCATCAGGTGGCCAAAGTATTGGAGCTTCAGCTTCAGCATCAATCCTTCCAGTAGACATTCGGGACTGATTTCCTTTAGGATGGACTGGTTTGATCTCCTTGCAGTCCAAGGGACTCTCAAGAGTCTTCACCAACACCACAGTTCAAAAGCATCAATTCTTTGCACTCAACTTTCTTCATGGTCCAGCTCTCACATCCATTCATGACTACTGGGAAAACCATAGCTTTGACTAGATAGACCTTTGTCTGCAAAGTAATCTCTCTGCCTGTCTAGGTTGGTCATAGCTTTTCTTCCAAGGAGCTTTAATTTCATGGCTGCAGTCACCATCTGCAGTGATTTTGGAGCCCAAAAAGATAAAGCCTGTCACTGTTTCCATTGTTTCCCCATCTATTTGCCACGAAGCGATGGGACCGGTTGCCATAATCTTCGTTTTTCAAATGTTTAGTTTTAAGGCAGCTTTTTCACTCTACTGTTTCACTTTCATCAAGAGGTTCTCTGGTTCCTCTTTGCTTTCTGCTTAGGATCTGTTCAATATTCATAAAACCACGGTCTATATTGACATTGATAAACATTGTTCAAGAGACAACACCAAGCCTGCTGGCAGATAGGTGCCCTTCTCTCAGCCCCTCATAAATCTTTCAACATTCCTGGGATTACACAGTTGAGCCCATCTGTCTGTGGTCCCGTCCCACCGAGGCTTCTGTATCACGTTTCACATATCATGACAAGACTGTCAACCATCCATGGTGTGACATTACCTCTGTCTTGTGAGTGAAAGGCATAGCCACAATGTATCAACCTTGCACCGCTTTGGGAAGCATTCACTCTGACATTGAGCCCATGCGGACTTCTGCTGGTGACAGCTTTCTTTTCTAATAACTAACAACTCAGGCAGAATTTCCCAGGGTATAGTATGTTTGTCAGCATGTAGCTTTTCACAACAGGTGGCCAAAGTACTGGGGCTTCAGCTTAAGCATCAGTCCTTCCAATGAATATTCAGGACTGATTTCCTTTAGGATGGACTGGTTGGATCTCCTTGCAGTCCAAGGGACTCTCAAGAGTTTTGTCCAACTCACAGTTCAAAAGCATCACCAGATGGGAAGAACTGACTCATTGGAAAAGACCCTGATGCTGGGAAAGATTGAAGCCAAGAGGAGAAGGGGATGACAGAGGATGAGATGGTTGGATGGCATCACTGACTCCATGGACATGAGTTTGACCAAGCTCCAGGAGATAGTGAAGGACAGGGAAGCCTGGCGTGCTGCAGTCTGTGGGGTCACAAAGAGTCAGACACAACTTAGTGACTGAACAACAGGAATGTAGATTTTGTTCTTCTGGAAAGGCAGAGCACGTTTATTCTGTGGATTTTCTCACTTTTTTGGACATTCATTGCTTAGGACACGAGACTGAGCCTGTATCTTTCTGGACCCTCTGAGCGTCCAAACCTAGATGTTTGATAGTCTCCTTGTCAAGTCTAAGGTTTATTTCCTTTGATAGAGCAGAACTAAGTTAAATGAAAGTGGTCCTGCTTTCACTTATCAGCAAGCACTGCATCGATCAACAAGGCGAATTTGACCAACTTTTATAGATTTATATCTG